AGTTTTTTATTTTATTTTAAGCCGATTTGTAAAGGGTTTGTTTACCAACGCGGCCAGCACCTGGATTGAGTACTGATGCACATCCTGCGTGTTTGATCTGTTCGAGGTGCGAGGTTTTGATTCATTTTATGGAGCGAACGATTTCGGTAGTCTTAAGACTTTGATGATACAAGAACAAAACTGTTCATTTCGCCAATACTTATACGCCGTGTATAGGAAAGTCCCAACTTAGAGGACATCCTGTATTGTTTGCGCAGAGTATTTCAAAGGGAAGGCGATCTCGGTGTGAATTAAAAAATGTCAAGAACGTGTCTACTGCGAATGCTCCTTGTTTATCTTTAATTTCGCTAGCATCTGTATTTGCTAACATTTTTTCTAACTAAATATCTGGTACAGTATTTTTCCGTTGAAGTTTTTTTGCAGGGTGAAGGTTACGTTCCAATTTAAACAAGTTACTGGTACATAAATAACATCTGAAACTCGTTTAGTGGGGTTCATGCTTTTCTGGCCGGATTTCCTTTTTACAGATGTTGCATCCATCACGGAGGTAGTTTTTCAAAGCAAAAATCAAAATGACATTGACAAATAATTTTAACTTCTACATGTCGTCGTCCATAACACGAAGTGGCGTATCTCATTTTTTCCAATTTTACAGTAGAACGTTTTGAATATTTTCACGAGATTTGAGTTGTTGCTGACAAAAAGGTATTATTGCTACATAATTGAATTTGTGGGTATATCTGCTCATGTTTACAAGCTTTTCAGGAATGAGCAACGGTTAACCCATTTTTCGTTTTATGAGTTAAAAATTTCCAAAAAAAGTAGATACGTCATTTTGTGAAATTGAAGGGTCTTAATTCGTAGAATCTTTATTCTAAGTCTTTACTTAGTTACGTCTGTGTTATATAAAAGTGATAAAAATAGAAACACTTAAAATTAAAAAAAAAAATGTTTTATTACAAGACAAAATGATCACAAAAAGGGGATATATATATATATGACAAAAAGTAGGAAAATAATGGGCAAAATCCGCAAAAAGGAGGAAAGTGTATTCGAGTAGAAAATATGATAGGTAACCCGAGCGATACGTATTTCTGCTGGTTGGCTTCATCAGGAACGAAATAAATGCACATCTGAAACTACAAAAGTCTATTTGTGCTATGGTAGCTTCCATTATCCTATTTTCTGAGGATCTTTCATGTTTGTTAATGGTTTTGTGTGTTAAAGTGCCAGTTTCATTATTACCTCCATCCAAAGTGCTTCTTTCGTCCTCTTCGAAACTTATATCCATTGTAACATAATCTTCTTCTCTGATCTCATGACGATCAGGTGGCCACAAACCACAAGTTTTAAATCCGTGCAGTACTGTAACCATAGAAGCTGCTCTGGGATATGCTTCGCCTAACAGTCCAGCAATATCTGTCCATTTTATAACGCTGCCCGGATGTGTGCGCATCCATGCCTCTGACGCTTCATTAAAATGGTGCTTTAAAGATTTAGAAAACGATTTGTCCAAAGGTTGAAGTCGGTGCGTGGCGTGTGCCGGGAGGGATAACATTATAATTCCGTATTCTCTTGCAAGCCTTATGGCTTGAATGTTTTTCATGTGAGTGGAGTGACCGTCTAGGGTCAAGAGAATTTGTTTTTTCTTACTTTTTTCTAGCCTAGTACATCCTATTAAATGTTTTAGCCATTCTAAAAACAGTTCAGAGGTTATCCAAACACTAGCAGAGCAAGTGTAAAGAGTATTTGGTGGGCCTCCCCTTTTAAGTACATCAGACATACGTTTTCTCTTATAAATTAACATTGGAGGTATAAATTCTCCGACGGCGTTCATACAACAAACACAAGTAGTATTTGAACCTCTTTCTCCACTGGTTACAGCGCCTACTTGTTGCTTTCCCTTTTTGGATAAAATTTTTGATGGTTTGTGGACAGTGCTCAACTCAGTCTCGTCAACGTTTAGGATTCGATGTTGTAGAAATTTATGCTCATCAAGTATTTTTTCATATTTGTCAAAAAAATCCGTAACTCTTTGTTTACTAAATCCTCTGCAACGCGCCATTGACGTCGGCTCAGGTCTTCTTAAGGAGACTTCTGGATGGTCTTTCATAAATTTATTATATACGTATATACCATTTCCAACCCGCCAATTGTTTTTCCTTATTGAATCGCTGATGAAGATTATATTTCTCGGCAAGTTGATAGGCTAAGCGACGCAAATCATTAATTGTTAGCCCAAACAAACATGACTCCAGTTCCAGAATATGTTGCACCAATTCGTCCTCCATGGCAGCCGTTAGGTGTTTCGGTCTTCCAATAGTTCTGTGTTTATTTAGATTCTTTAAATGACGACTGAACGTAGGTTCAGGAATATTATATGTACGACAAATTTCATTAAAGCCCATGTTTCTGCTTTGATATCTGTCAAAAGCTTCATTCATGTTAGCCTGTGACCAAGCATATCTGAAAAAAAAATATTTTGCTATTCAAACTCGCTTACAATAATCACTAAATAACAACAAAAGTTTGTTAAACCAAATTTAATAATTTTTGGGTATTTAGATCACAAAAAAGAAATATGCTATCTTACAAAGCTAGACTTGCAGTTCTATTAGGTAGTGCTCCGTAAATGAATCATATATGAATAGTATATAATAAATTCCAATAATATAAAAATATTCCTAAATCGTACCAGTACGGAATAGGAATATATGTAGAGGTACGTTTTAGGCATGTGATCAGATTTAATATTTTAAGCCTGTCCTTATTTGAAAACCTAACCTATCATAACATAATTTATAAGAATTTCTTCCTAAATGATGTTACTTTTTAGAGGTATAACTATTATAACACTTACCCAAGTCTTGGATAAAATATTCCTTTATAAATACAGCCACAATATAACAGTAATTCGGGTATGAAATCAATTTGTAAAAATTTACCGGCTAAGCGAACTTAAACCGTGCAGATCATGAGAATACAACATGGCCGATAAGTGAGTTCTCGATTGCCATCCACAGCAGCGCTGCTAGATATAATAGCCGCGAAATTTGAATGAAGTACGATTTAGGAGCAGGTACGATTTAAGGATAGTTACCCTACAGCGTTTTAAAATTTTCCATTATCATTTTAATGTTAAAATTTAGTTTGTAGTATGTAGTTTCGTTACCTGATAACTCGTTTGCAGCCCGTTATGAGTTCCTACCAACCTCAGCACAAAAAATCAGTATATTCCAAAATGGCGGACTGGCAGACTGTTAAAGTTAAGCGCTGGGGTACATTGAATTGCTTATGAATGAACAATCAATTTTATCAAAGCCCTATACGTATAGTATTTCAGTTTTATTTTCATGGAAGGATTTATTCGAGTATATAATAAAATACGGACCGCTACAATTAAAATAAACTGAGTGACAACAAAAGGTAAGCACCTACGTATGTTTATCCGATTTTAATAATTTTTGTCATATATATTCAGTGTCCCGCAACCTGACAATTCGACCACTCTCAAAGTCACTTAGCTGAGACACCCCGTGAATTCTACGCACTCTAGGCATTTTGAGCAATCATAAAAAGGCTTCTCAATAAGCTACACGAAATTTAACATTTAACTGACACCGTAAATGTACGAAAACTGAATGCTTCTTTATGACCAAACCATACACGCAGCCACCACAAAAACTTGACAGAAAAACCTGACCATTTTATCACTTGTTCATGGCAAGATAAGTCGTTATGTAAAAAATTCTTGAATTCTAAAGGCGGCATTACACGCTACGAGATATCGTCGCGATTTATCGATGATGTGATTGGCAAATTAATTGCTCCAATAAATCCACGGTGGGGTACTGTTTACACGCTCCGAGAAATTGTAACAATTCCTTGTCACATTCTATCGTCTCCAGCTATAGACCCCATAAAATGCTGTAGCCATGGAGGAAGCTGTCAGTATTAATCGGATGTTTAGTGAGTAAAAAAAAGGAAAAATCGCGGAAAGTGGAGTCGCGAGTGGTTACTGAAGAAGAGGGAATTCTCTCATGTGAACTTATTGCAAGAATTGAGTAGTGAGTCAAATGACTGGCGAAATTATTTGAGGATGGACGAGGGGACTTATCTTGAGTTGTTAAGCTTAGTTTCTCCGTTGATCGCGAAACATGATACTGTAATGAGAAGAGCGATATCCCCTCACGAAAGACTCTCAGCTACCTTACGATTTCTTGCCACCGGAAGAACCTTGAAGGACATGGAATATTCTACTGCGATTTCTCAGCCAGCTATCAGCTCAATAATCCCAGAAACCTGTGAAGCTATCTACAAAGTATTACAACAATACATCCAGGTATGCTTTATTTATTATAAAACATATTTGTCTATATATTAGTTTTTAATTTTCTTTTAAAGTAACGAAATGTAATACAATATAAAGTGAATAATCATGGAATGTGAAACATTAATGACTTGCTATGCCGAGAAATTTGAAAAGAAGGCATTAGCATTGTTGAGTTGTTATGATTCTGATTGGTGAGCTATGGGTTGTTCAGGTTTGTTTGTTTGAACGTTTGGTAGTGTCACGTTAGAGACTTCAGGAGTATCATGGTTGAGAGTTTGGGGGTATAACGCTGGAGCGCTTGGGAGCTGTAGAATGTTATCACTGGAACAACGAGGATTGTGTTGTTGAGGGTATGGTTGATGGTCGGGCATTCGTGAGATGTACGGTGGGTGGTAGGGTTGCTGTCGGTAAAGTTGGGGGTTAAATTGTTGATACTCATTACTTTCGAATGAACGGTGTGGTTGAATGTTTGTTACTTTAAAATCTTTGGTGAGTGTTTCAAGCTCCCCCTCAAAAATCACGTAATTTTTGAGTTTTCTAGCGAATATGGCCGGGTTTCCTCTAAGAGAACGTAGCTTATGAGCTACATACTTTCCGTAGGCATCGAACTCATCATCAGTACGAATCGAGGTACGAATACTTTGTAGCTGCTCTCCCGCAAGCTGTATCACCTCATCTGCCGGAGTTTCTTTTTTCTCTTACATAGTGTCTTTGACACCCTCGATATAACTGTTGATCGTGTCACACTTAGTGATGTGCTTGGTCCATCATCTCCTGATGTTGGAAGAGCCTCACCTCCTTGTTGGGAATGGGGTAGATCAGTAGGTTCTGAATCCTTCTGTTGGAAGTAAAACATATATCAGTTTCCAATAAGCTTATGAGCGGCTACATTTGGCAGGTGACCGAAACAGTTATTCACCTATTGCCGAGAAAATAGATTTGTAGATAATATTCAAGTTTATATTTAACATAGGCAGCAGCGGTGGCCGCAGTAGTAGACTCTTCGGTCTCCTGATCAGTCGCCGTGCGCTGTGCGGGTTCGAGTCCCGTCCCAGGAGAAATTTTTCTCTTGGCTATGGATGTTGTGATTGTCCGTAGGTGGTAGACGGTCTCTGACTGTCGAACGCGGAGGTACCACCCGGCGGATCTCGTAGGCGGAGCCAGAATGTGTGCATGTTGCACGTACACGTGTTCCCTCGTCCGTGTGGCGTTCCCCCTTTCCCATGTATCCCCCTATAGCCCCACGGTACCCAATGGGTGCTTATGCCTTAGGCCTTCGTGGTAGTTGGAGTATAAAAAAAAGAAAAAAAAACTTATGTTTTTATTTGTATTCAAATCTGTAGTTTGAAATTGAGAGTAGTGTCAACACAATAACACATTTTGCGTGGTGTATGTGTCTTTAAAAAAAAATTTTTTTTTTCAGTTCCATGAAACAGCCGATGAGTGGTACAAAGTTGTCCTAGATTTCGAAGAGAAGTGGCAGTTTCCTCATTGTTTGGGCGAGATCGATGGAAACCATGTCCGGATTGTTCCACTAAAGGATAGTGGTTGATACTACTTCAACTACTAGTTTTGATGGCTATAGCAAACGCTCACTGCGAATTTATACTTTGTGATATAGGGACAAACGGTAGAATATCTGATGGAGGTGTGATTAATAACACTCGTTTTAACGACAAACTTACAAAAAATCAACTAAATATCCCTGGACCCGAACCAGTTAGCTTTGATCTTGACCTGCCATACGTTTTTGTGGGAGATGATGCCTTTGCATTAAGACCGTATCTTATTGAGCCTTACGGTTTTGGGATTCCCTTAACAACGAGAGAAGAATATGCAACTATCGTATATCGAGAGCACGGCGAGTAGTTGAGAACAGTTTTGGACTTTTAGCTTCACGTTTTCGTGTTTCTTACACTGCAATCAATTTAAATGTGGATTCCATCGAATCACTAGTTCTTGCTTGCTGTGCATTGCACAACTTCTTGAGGACAAAATCATCTACTTACTCTTCCCCTGAAAGTGTTTATCAAGAAAATATTATTGATGATACCGAGCCACCAAGTACAAGGCCTGATACTGATATGTTCCACAATCTCGAAAAACGTTCAGGAGGTCAAGTTTTGCAACAAGCGAAAACCGTTCGAGACAAATTCTGTGCGTATTTTAACGGGGAGGGGTCAATTCCTGGGCAAGAAACATTTGCATTGAATGTTTGAAATTTACAGTTCATTAGTTAAAACCATATTATATAAACTAGATATTTTGAGACACAGGGATGTTATTTAATAAGTTTGTGCCGTCAACATGTAATTGTTATAACAATAAATGTTGCTATATCTAAATAAAAATTCATTTTTACTTACATCTTGTTGTGTTTCTTGATCCGCATCACTCATTGTACTCCTACTAGGTCTTGCAGAGTCCTGGTCTCTCAAAAAATGCAGCAGGTCGAAGTACCACATCCCGGATTTTTCCGATTTGTAAGCTTTAGCCAATTCTTTTTTATAGACCGTACGTAAAGCATTAATTTTTTTAACAACAGTGTTTCTATCCGCCGATGGATCAACCTAAATCTTTTTTATTCCTGTTAGAATAGTATTTGCTCTTGACGCGCCACAAACACGTAAAACTTTGATAAAGTTCAATGAACTTTGTCAAAAACTCTCGAGGAGTTAGTTTCGGTGCATCTGCCATAGGTGCGTCTTCCAATTCGTACCAAAAAGAAAAACTAAATAGACTCAGTACGGGCAAAACGCAAACTGAGTTAAATTGTAACAGCAAATCGTTGCCACCTGATTACATGTTCAGACATGTCGGTACGATTCGCCGAAATAGATCAGGGCTCGGATCAACCATCCAACCCAACTCCAACTCCGAGAAATCGTTACAATGTCCCGATTTCACACAACGATCAATTGACATTACTCGATCGTTATGATAGATTGCTCGCATTTATCGTAGCGTGTAATGCCGCCTTTATACACATACGTAGGTGTTTACCTTTTTGTCTCACTCAGTATATAATAAAGTATATAAATTTTTTTAAACGTGTATTTAAATGTCCCATATTTTGTTGCACTTTTAGTTAGACCCTTCCAAAAGGCCTACATTGATATAACATACTATACCGTTTTGATGATCACTTGGGATTCAATGTACAAAAGCGCTCAACTTTGGCAGTTCACCACTCCGTAAGATAGTACATTTACACACCAGCGTTACAAATTACTGATAAAGAGCTTGAAAATGAGTCCATTTGAAAAACATTCCAAAAAGCCGCCCAACCGCCACTTTGATATGTTCAAATTTTCCGCTTAAACAAAGTATTTATACATGCATCAGTCTAGTCATTCCAAAATTAACCTTGCTAACTATAGTCAACGCCAAACAAAGTGGCGTGCACGTCATCAAGGTGGGTGTGTTGAAAAATTTACATTGTTGCCAAACTTTTTGTAAAATAATAAAATTTATTATTTACATATCTAGGTTTATAAGCAATATTAACCTCAAATGAGAACAAAAATAATAGTATAATAAAATTATAGATCTGTACTTGCATAATCATTAAGTATGACAATTATTGATCAGATTACACTATGAAACTACCATATTTAATTGATAGCTTAAAGGTACTGAATAAAAATCCAAATGGGGTCCTCCAAATTTTATGCATGGTATTTATTTTACAGAATTCATACAGAAAAATGCATTCTAAAATTAGGTAAGCTACTGGTGTAAGCTTTTTCTGTACAATAAAGTTAGTCGGAGTTTCTTTCTTCAGCGCTGTCTGAATCTGAATCTTCATCACTCTCAAAGTTGATTATTAAAGGTTCGATGTCTGGTCGATCAAAAATTCGTTCTCTTTCATACCATTTAAAAATTTCTTGCTCAGTATGTCGAACACTATTTTTCCACATGTCTGGGGTAACCGTTTGTAGAGCCTCGTTCCACATATCCAAACAGTCTTTTTCACTGTTACCATCTCTACCAATATGTCTGTTATAGTAACCTTTTGCTATGCCCCAAATTAACTCAATAGGGTTAAATATACAATGGTAAGGAGGCAGACGAAGAACTTTGTGCCCATGTTGTTCCGCCAATTCATCAATCACGTATATTTTAGGTGGTTTGTTTCTAAAAAAGCAGTTATTTTAAGAATTGGAATAAACAAAAGAAATATAAACTGTCGACCAAAATATATATAATTGAGAAGCATTATGTACCGAGCAACAATACTCAATAGCTCTGTTTTAAACATTGTGTTTAAAAATGGTATGTTTTGATTTGTCAACCAGTCTTGGATATTTTTTTTTGTCCATGCATTGTTGGGCACTTTGTTCAATATCATGCTGTGATAAGGGGCGTTATCCAGTATAATCATAGATGGACTCTCCAATTTTTCTAATAACTGATGTTGAAACCATTTCAAAAAATTGTCCTGGTTCATCTCTCCATGGTAATCGCTCAATTTTGTTTTCGAAGAAAATATCGCTTCACTACCCTCAATAAACCCATTTTCATTTCCAGCATGTAATATAATGTATCTAAAATATATTAGTTTTAAATTTTATAGTGCAAATTGTGTAAAAGTACATACCTTTTACCATCTGTTTTAATAGCTTTCACGCTTTTTTGGTTTCCATTTTGCCAAGAGCGACCTATGGTCCCATTTTGAAATATCCAAGTTTCATCGAGGAAGACAAACTGGTATAAGGCCTCAACCTTGGCTTGATTGTATTGCCTTAGAAATTCCACCCTTTTCAAAGCTATACTTGGTAGTTCCATGAGCCCTCGTCGCGGATTGTCCTTAAGCCACTTAAATCCAAGATCTCTAAGCAACCGCCTTAAAGACGTGGCACTACCATCAAATAATGCCCTATCTCTTAATCGAGACCATAAAGTTTGTATCGTAACTTGTTCTTCTGAAACCATGTGTAATATGACATTATAATTTAGTTAACAAATTAATGCAAATTTCTGATAAGTTATTATAATAAGATCTTACTTTTGTGATACATATTATAGATCACTTCTCGAATGGCACTTGTATCCAATGTCGCTGTGTTGGTTACACGTTTAATATAACTCCGCTTTTTCTTGGGCGATTCTAAATTTGCATCACTTTTCACACCCTCGGAAATACGACTAACTGTCCTTAAACTAATTTTTAAAGCAGCAGCAACACGCTACAAAAAATGAAATAAAATTTCACTATTATTAATATACATTACATATAATTATTAGTAACCTACCTCTTGAACAGCATTTAAAGGCAACAAAGGCCCGTTGTTGTCCCTTTCTTGCTCAAAGTAGTGCATTAACGAGGCCACGAGTTCCTTACACCGACTATTTAACTGTTTGGGCATCTTTATATACCAAAATTGCCTTTATCTACTCGTAAAATGAATAATTTTGTTTTGAAACAAACAGTTGTTGATTTACAGTATGCGGGGCCAAAGGATTTATTAAGATATGAAATGCCACAAATTGATTCAGTGTCAAAATTAATACAAATGTCAGTTCCCAGTTTAAATAAGTTTCAAGGTGACAATGTGTCAACGCTGCGAAATCGGTTTAGTGCGTTTACATGTCGATAAGTGATTGGAGCGTTTGCAAAACATTTTATTTCGCATAATGCGTCTAAATTTATCAGAAAGCAACTTATGTGATATCTTAATAACAATGTTTATATGACTATTAACCATAATAAGAGAGTAATGACCATTTTACAATTTATATATCACATTAATATGAAACTGCAATAGAGCAATTGTTTGTGATAGAAACCTAGGCATTAGGTCGGGGAATTTTTATCGTGATGACGTGCACGCCACTTTGTTTGGCGTTGACTGTAGTTCATAAAACAAAGCGCGAGAAGAGGGGCTTTCTGAAAAGCACTCTATGTGAAAATAATGTTACTCAAACAGAATTCGCTCCATTTGCACGTTTGGAAAAATTGATGACGCGTAGGAGGTATCGAGTTTGATGGAACTTTTATTATTATTTGACGAAATAACAAGTTGTAGACCTAATCTACACCGTTTAATCGCTCATCCGATATGTCCTGAAACAACCAAGAGCTTAATTAAAAGATCTGCATAGTCGTGGATACACGTACACCTGTCAGTGTTGAAAAAATAAGAATTAATAACAATACCACTATGAATCCGATATCTCTGGCAGATTCAAAAACAACACTCGGCCACACTCCCAGTTTCCCACGCAATGCAAACAGATCAGTTCAGCTACCGCAAATAAGGCGCTCTCCGCTGGTATATGCAGGGTGTCCCAGAATGAAGTGACGGTCCCTGATGTGTATACAAGCCGAAGAAATAATCTCACAAACTGTCATACGAGACTGTCTTCTGGAGATTCAAGATCATGAAGTCGCTACTTGGATAACTTTTGAACCACATTCAGTGTAACGAAATTTTGACAACGTAGTAACGAGCTGGGGCTTCAAACGACGCTACAAAATCACCAGGGATGAAGAACTAGGTCTAACGTAATATTGAAGATCTTCTTACACACCGCATAGCCTAATTTTTTTAGCTTTTGTTTAATTTCGTTAAAATAAATCGTTTCTGAGGAAAACAAGTTTTGTTCCAGTAGCGTTTTTAATCTAAAACGTTCGACAGATAATGTACCTAGCAAATCAGATCAACATTTACATATAGGTATATCTATCGTAAGGCATTTAGAGTAGCTGATTACGAATCTGGATCTGGATGCAGAACCCAAAATGATAAAACTGCGCCGTTTACAAGTGGACAAGTTATAATATATACTGAGTGACAAAAAAAAACACCTACGTATGTTTATTAGAATTCAAGAATTTTTTAAATATTGATTTATTTTGCCAAGAACAACAAGTGATAAAATGGTCACCTTTTTCTGTTAAGTTCTTGTGGTGGCTGCGTGTATTGTTTGGTGATGAAGAAGCATTCAGTTTTCGTACATTTTCGGTGACAGTTGCAGTATACTGCAGTGTGAGCGAGCGTGAACACAGGAAGGCCGAGGACAGCGAACGAGGGGTTCTGGGTATCCGAGAGGGACCACAGAGCGACAAGACTGCCGGTTAAGACTTTTGGCTCTGACAGATAGATTCAGTAGTATTCGAGCTAGCGCTAATAAGTGGTTTGAAGAGCATGGAAGGACGGTTGGTATGCGTACGGCATATCGCCGAATACGACAGTTTGGCCTTTTTTCTTATCGCCCACATTGGGTGCTACCTCTCACAGCTGAACATCGGCGTAACCGTTTGCTCTGGTGTAGAGAAAGAATGGAATCAGGTGGTCTTTAGTGACGAATCTCACTTATGTCAGGGGATGCATGATGGTCGGGCAAGACCATCGAGATATAATACAAAAGGAGACGCTATTGTCATGTGGAGCTTAGTCGCTTAACAATATGGCGGATCTGCCAGGTTCGTATATGTTTTTAATGTATGTATTTGATTTGATTGCATCTATGCTATATGTAAATGATATCATTTGCTACACGTATGTATTTAGAAAAAATCTATTTAATATACAGTGTGTCCACCTACTTCAACATGTGTGTTTCTTGACCGATTTTCATCAATTTTTTTTGGTTGGATGGTCAAAAATGTCAGTTTGTGGATATTCAGAAAATGTAAGACACGACCCAATACTGTATTAAGTTTTAAGAGCGAAGAATCGAGAATTACTATAAGCGATATTTGAAAAAAATTATACCGGTTTATTATTCAGGACCACCTAAAACATATGTTCACCAAATTTGGTTGTGATAGTATACTGTCAGTTGGAGTCAAATTTTTAGAGGTGCAATAGATTTCCTGATTAACTACGAGTTTTTTTAAAAATTTTTTCGTATGGCATTTCTTTCTCAAGATGCATACATCGCATCTTTTGAAAACCAAACTTGGTAAACATATGTTTTATGTGGTTCTGAATATTTTTTTCAAATATCACTAATCGTACTTCTCGACTTTTGTCGAAATTACATTTTTTTGTTGTTGAAAATATTAAGCCAAATAAAATCTATTAGATACATGTTTATTATCCAAATATTTTTAAGTAATTTAGTTTTTGCGTGCCTACATAAATAAAAATCAGGTTTGGAAATAATCTTTATTACATAAATACATAGATAACAGATTAATTGATTACTGCCCTCTAAATAATACAAGCTTATTGCTATGATGTCTTATACTAACTGCTTGTTTCTGTAGAACGGATGAGTCGAAATTAGGTCTTAATACTGTATTTGATAGTACTAGTATCTTGGCAGGTGGTGATTCTTCCTAAAATAAAACATTAACGCTCATTACCTCTAGACATTTATGAAACCTAGAATTTACATCGAAACATGCATTTAAGATGACATTATATCAAGGAAAACTACAAAAAGGACAAAAAACATAATGAATTAAGTATGCAGAACATTTTAGGAAACAAACATGATTCTATTAACATACCTACCTGATTTAGATGTATTGTCGGAACAGCATTTGGTTTGAGATTAACATAACATTTTGATGTTCTATAGAATGACTCCTCAGAAAAATGTTTCGAGCAAATAACACTAGATCTTGTAGGTGTCCATTCACCTCTATTAACAAATTTCACCCAAAGTTGGCAACGGTCAGTGTTTTTAGGGAATCTACAATTAATAAATATATTCAAAATAAAAATATTAGATGGCTCAACTCATGAAGATAAGTTTTCTTTAAGAAAATCAAGCACCTTGACAGGCATTTTATGAAAATAATACAATCTCATGACCTGCAGTTCAAAATTTAATTGATAAATTAGTATTTATATTTTTTCGATAAATTAGATATATTACGGGTAGTTAGGTTAGTTAGGTCAGCTTCACTGAGAGGTATTAATAATAAGCCTAATAATTTTGGCAAACACGATTTTCTATAATAAACAATAAAGCCAAAATAAAATATATATATATACTAAGTGACATATAGGTAAATCCGAACACCCAGTTTAAATGGTTTTATTTTAATAAAATTTTGTATAAGTACTTAATGAAGCATAATAAGTAAATGATAAAAATTTCAAAATGATTGCACTGCTTTAAAGCCCTTTGACCTTTAATAATGTGTGGATGCACCCTGATGTGCTACGCATTCTCCAACGCGCCTAGGCATGCTTCTGATCAGGTGGTCAATGTCCTCCTGTGGTATGTCATTCTAGGCAACCACCAACTCCTCTCGAAGTGCTTCTAGAGTCTGAGGAGGACGTTGCAAATTGAGCAATCTCCTACCCATCATATCCCACACGTGCTCAATTGGGGATAAGTCGGGAGATCTTGGAGGCCATGGTAACAATGTGACATCATTATGTTGAAAGAAGTCAATTGTGACTCTTGCAACATGTGGTCGGGCATTATCTTGTTGGAAAGTTGGATCTGCCAGGGTGTCAAGATAGGGTAAAAGATGGGGTTCTAGAACTTCGTGGATATAACGCTGCGCGTTCATGTTACCTCTGATGAAGATTAAAGGTGACCTGGAACCATAAGCTATAGCACCCCAAACCATAACTCCAACAGTGTGATGAACATGTCTTTCAACAAAAAACTGTGGATTCCTCCTTTCACCACGTCGCCATCTAACCCTGGCACGACCATCGTGCATGCCTAAACAAAATCGAGACTCGTCACTAAAGACAATACTGTTCCATTCCTGATCCCAGAGTGACCGTTGTCTGCACCACTCAAGGCGATTACGTCGGTGTTCTCGAGTTAAAGGGAGGACCCAGTGTGGCCGGTATGAAAACAAGCCAAAACTTCTCATTCGTCGGTAAACACTTCGCATGCCAATAGGTCTTCCGTGTTCTGCAAACCATTCATTTGCAATGGACCTGGTAGTGGAGAAACGGTCCCTTAAGGCCAATAATCTTAGGCGGCGATCTTCACGGTCTGTTGTTCTACGGCGGCGTCCAGTGCCCCTTGCTCTTTGCGTATGGCCTTCTCGAAGCCATGCCTGACAACACCTAACCACAGTGTCTACACTTCTTTGCACTCTAACTACAATTGCCCGAAAAGAAAGTCCAGCTTCCCGAAGTCCCACTATACGGCCCCTATCAAACTCACTAAGTTGACGAAATCGTACAGGTCTCCGTACTCTAGGCATCGTAACCGATTGTAAAGGATGTCAAGAACCAAAATCCGCCAACGTTGATTCTTTACTGCGGCTGAAATATTCATTTTTAGAGCGTTAGTGAATTAAAAAAAAGCAGTATAAAAACTGGAATGTCCAACTGATAAGGCTGAAAATTTTTTCACTTGTTATTTACAGTAAGATAAATACATCCACCAACTTTTATTAAAATAAAACCATTTAAACTGGGTGTTCGGATTTATATGTCACTTAGTATATTAAAATCGGATAAACATACGTAGGTGTTTAGTTTTTATTGTCACTCAGTATACAAGTACAAGTACAAATTCAGTGCCTTGTTTATGTCGAGCTTTCGAAAAGGTTTAATTTCGTCGCGTACTACAAAGACAATCAAATAATCATTGAGCTCATGTTACAACGTTGAAGTTTTCTTTAAAGACAACCATTCCAAATATGGAGAATAAAAACCATTAATTCATTAAGAATCAACAATGCACAGGTCACAAATTGAAACAGTGAGCAGTCATATCCATAAGGAAAAAAGGAATTTGGATCCCCACAATGACGGTTTCAGTTAGCTACGCGACATTGTTAGGAAGTGATGCCATAAGAGAATTTTTGGAATGGAGGGGGTCGAAGATTTGCATTTAACTGGTAAAACGTAACCAAGAACGAAATTGCGATAAATATCAAAGTTATGAAAACAGTCGAAGGTAGAAAAGCAGCAAATTTGAGAACATAACTGAAAGTTCTGTCAATCACAAATATCGCATATCTTATCCTTTTACGTAAGCCTCTTTTGATTTGTCACACGCGAATCGTTGACTTGCCAAATTAAAATTGAAGCTCAAGCTTGTGTGCACTGTATTTCTGATTGTCTCTGTTGTATTGTATAGCCAAACATCTAAGGCATTCAATCTGTATTAAGAGAATTTTTCCAAAAAAGAAAATGCGAAATACAGGAAATTTCTAGGATGCAAGAAAAATTATTTAAAACGAAATAAACGGGTGTCTCTAGTGGACAAAAATAACATTTAAACATAATAAAAAAACAGCTGATCAGGCTAGGTGGCCGAGTCAGTTCAACTTAAAGAAAACAAGGCGATATTCATTACAGTAAGAATATTCTGGTAAACAACGATTTAATGCACAAAAACGTTTAAATTTGACAGCCCGCCAGTACGCCATTTTTAAACATAGTTATTTTATACTCTGAAGTTATAAAGTATTCATAAGGAATAAGCTATGACATGTCCCTCAATTCCTTAGCTTTTTTTTAGTTAATTAAATATTGGTACGTGAAATTCGCCATCTTGAAATTTTCTACTTTTTTAAAAATATAGTATTCATGCGTCAATTTTATCGTCCAAAATTTTAGCTCCCTAACTTAACCCGTTCAAAAATAAGTAGAGGGAGCTTTCTTAAAGACACTGTACATGAAAGAATCTCATCAAATCAAGATACATTTTGAATATATGTATAAATATGCAAAAAACAACTTTCAATCATATAAGAAAATATATTTCAATGAAAAAAGGTAAATTTTTTTGGTGGCCTGAAACAACATTTAAAGGAATGAAGCTCTAGCTAGAAAGACCAGGCGGTTGAATCAGTCCAACATAAAGAAGACAACCTATATAATGTTCAGGGCCGGCTTCAGGCTTTTTGTGCGCCCTGAGGCAAAGGATGAAATGTATGTCCTCCTCCCACATTAATTGAGAACAAGGGTGGATCCACTCTTTGAGTCATCGCGTCACTTACGGAGAGTCGTCTCACAGGGGAGGAGGGATGAATAAAAATTTGCTCGGCTGCATCAGTGGTTCTAAGCTAACTAATCTTGAGAAACCGGAATGTTCGAGAATGTCTCACGTTCTATTCCCATCAAAAACAGCTCATTTTATCACTGTCGATGTCGAAAGAGATTAGTTTTTTGCTTGAGATCAGGCTTTTCAAAATTGTCATCGTTGTGGTTGAGCTATTATCGGAAATGGAGGAAAAAATAAGCAGAATTAAGTTACGGCTAGTCCATTCCTGGCGAACTGAATCAATTAATTATTTGGACAGTGTCGTTTAAAGGTTGCTTGTTCCGACCAGTCCTTCTGAGGCTCCGTAGGGGAGCTCAGTAGGACATCTAAACATGTTGTTTTGGTCGCTCTTCCCATACAACATGGCCTAGACATGGTCTCTGGGACGACGAATGATGTTCATGTTCATGTTTAGCTGTTGGTGTTGTTCTCAGTTTTCTTATTCGTCACTATTCGTCAGAGCGGTCCGATGGACTTTTGCTCTTAGTTAAAAGTATCGTCGGTCTGTTAGTCTGTCAGGTCTGGCTACCCGGAGGGAAACAAGGAAAGAAAGGAAGGAAGAAATAGAGCAAAGAAAAGAACTAAATCATTTGAAATATCTTAAGCATTATTGCTTTGACTACTCAAATTATTTTGTAACTACAAAAAATAATTTTGATCGGTTTTGTATACTGAAATAAGTTTGGCTGGTCTGAATTTACAATTTAATTTTGATCACAGTGCGAGGCGCGGCCTGGAATGTTTGCGAACTTGCTCGACTGTGTAGTCTACTGAATCACGCTGTGAGATTCCGCTTGATTATAATGCCGCTGCGTCTGTTGTTTTACGTAATCCCTAAGATATGGGATATCAAGATCTCTGTGAATAGTCTCATTTGACACGTACCAAGGGGCGTTAGTAATTGTGCGTAGGGTTCTGTTTTGCAGGACTTGCAGTCTCTGCATGTGCGTCTTGGCAAGAAAACACCAAGCCGCGCATGCGTAGGTGATTGCGAGTCTTATGACCATTTTATACAACCGAATCTTGTTGATCAAACTTAATTTTGAATTTCTGCACAACAAAGGATAAAGCTGCCGAAAGGTAATTTGGAATTTCGTTTTCAAAATATCAGTATGTTTCTGCCAGGTCAACCCCTTGTCAATGATGACTCCAAGATTCCTGGCAGATTGCTCCCATGGTATACGAGTTCCATTCACTGATATCTCTGAGGGGACACCGCGACGTTTTTTAGTGCAATAGATTGCCTGCGTTTTCGAAGTATTAATTTTGATCAACCACCGATCCTCCCACTCCAATAGTTCCTCCACAGCACTCTACAGCCTGTCGTGAACCAGGTTACCAGAACAAGACTGGGCTAGCAATGCAGTGTTGTCAGCATAGAGATAGACTTCACAGTTGCTGGGGCAAGGGACGTCATGTATATAAAGTGAACAAAGGATTGCTCCTAAGACCGAACCCTGAGGAACACCGGCTCTGTTGTTGATTGAATCAGCATAATTAATTAATATCTGATTGATAAGTCTGTGTTATCCTTGGTGATGTAACCACATACAGGGTGTTTCTTAATGATATGCGAATATTCAATCTAAATGAAAAATTAATGTTAGTTTGTTCAATAAACTGTGGTCCAAAAATGTTTCCTTACAAAAACTCTGTGTTGAAGTTTTAGGAAAAAAAATGGAAATTAATTAATATTTTCAGAAGCGCTTCAGATATTTCACTGATATTTAGTACGTAGTGAAAGTTGATAAAGTTGCATATGTTTCAATGCAAAAATATTTTTTAGCTTTAACAGTGGCATGCGTACGGGTATTGACTTCGATATTTTTTAAGAAAAAAATGTGTACGTCAATGGCAAACAAATATTATTTTTGAATTTCCCGTTCAATTTAGAACAAATGATCTTACTTGAATCGTTTTCCTTGGATGCTCTATTTTTGAGTGAAAAAATAAAAACCGTTCTATTGTCCGAGAAAATTAATGTAATAATAATTGAAGAATGCAATTTAGCAATAAATATCTAGTTGCTCTGGAATATGTCACTGGCTTTTGACATCTGACAAGTCTCTGTCATTCAAA